AAATTTTTGTCACAGGATAAGCAGCAGATGTATGTGGGAGACTCTCGACTGCTTTTAATTTCGTTTTAATTACTGCATCTCACATGAACAATTAACCGACTTAACTGGACCGCAAAGAGCGAAGTCAACTTCCCAAAATCGAGATGCACTGATTACTCGAGGGGGTAGTCATTTTCGTTGCTTAAAAAAAATACAATTTTATATATCTAAACTACTTGGTGAGGTAACGTAAACCAGTCAAGGCAGGGCTCAGTCGAGTGCCCTGGGGCTAACTTGAATGGATCAATGACGGAATGTTGTTTACTTTGGAAAGGACATAAACAAAGTTCGTATTGTGTTTGAAGGCCTGTCACTACTTCTGATGCAAGCGAAACGAAAGTTTGCGTGGTCCTCAAAACGCTCGAGATAGAGGGATATTTAAAGGAGGATTAAAGCACACGAACAGGAAACGAAGGATTCGTTCTGGAAGCTATAGGGACAATAAATAAGCGGTAAACTTGCGACGAGCCGAAAGAAGGCGTGAAGGAGGTGTGTTTACCCGAGGCATGTACAGACTGTGACATGGAGTCAAATATCTCCACGTTAAAGATCGCTCAGGAGTTCGAAGGGAAAACTCTTGCAAAGAACACTGCTATGCGTAGAAGAAGGCATTCATTGTTTGAGACAGAAGAGATACCCATGATACGAGAGGGAGACCATGGTGTTGCCGTCATGACCCATGCTGATTATCCGTTGCGTAGTCGCTCGAAATCCCTTCCGTTGGAACCTAGACAGCCTAAGATTTCATTTGGATTCATGCAAGAAAACGTCAGAAGGGTTCTCCAAGAGGTTTTAGAGAGTAAACTGAAAGGAAGAAGTTATGTGGCCAGCGAATGTGCGGCGTTATCACGAGAACTAGTAAACATTCTGCGCGAGAAAGTTGTAGCGCTCGATATGAACAAGTACAAATTTATTTGTACTTGCTGCATTACGCAGAAACTCAAACCGCCCCTTGCCATACAGAGTGGCTGTGCCTGGGATGAAAGTGCCATAGGGATTGATATGGACGGTTTTACTGAATTTGTCTACAAGAACGACGATCTCATCGCAGTTGCAACGGTTTATGGAGTCCACGCTCAGAAGAGGACGGAAAGAGAAAGGTACTTAAAGAGTATCAAAGGATCCATTTACTCGCCTATCCCAGAGTAAATCTCCCAAAGAAACTTTACCT